TGAGTAGTAGAGCTGGATCTGGAAATCACATTTCCTTTTTCATAGGACATTGTTCCTGGCCATGTACCATACTGCCAGCACTGCTGGGTCAAGCCATGAGTGGTTAGGTCAACTTTAGTTGTAAATTAAAATATAAAGGGGAAAATATTGACCTGTTTTATACTTGGCTAGGTGTTTGTGCAATGAATCTGTGAAACATGGAAGGAAGGTTAGAGTTCCAGATGCAGTGTTTTTCTTACTATCAACTTGTTTTTTAAAAATATATTTTTTATTGATTTCAGAGAGGAAGGGAGAGGGAGAGAGAGATAGAAACATCGGTGATGAGAGAGAATCATTGATCAGCTGCCTCCTGCATGCCCCTACTGGGAATCGAACCTGAAGCCTAGGCGTGTGCCCTGACTGGGAATCGAACCATGATCTCCTGGTTCACAGGTCGACACTCAACCACTGAGCCACGCCAGTTGGGCATTACTATCAACTCTTGCTGTCATTCAAGGTTTTGAATTAAATGAATCCAATCCAGAAGCTTTGTTTTCTCAGAAGTCATTAGCAAGTAACAGTTTGCTTGGCTGATATCTTAAAAATGAGGACTGGCCTCTTTCTAGCTTCGAATTTTAGGACACAGATTTGTGGAAGTATGTGATACTCAATTTCTGCTGTGTGGTTCCCAGAGTCCTGTCTCAGTTTCTGGAACAGGTGGTCAGTCTGATGTGATTTATGGACGTGAGCCTGCATTGTAAACTGCTAAGTGCTGGGTCCAGTGTGTACAAGATCTTTGTAATAATAGCTCTCACTCAGGGAGCTTTGGAAACTTGCCTACGTGCACGCAGCTAGTTAGGATATTTGGGATTTTTGAAGCCTGGGGCCCATAGTGAAGGAAAGAATGAAGGTGAGTCATGTTACTCATAGTAGTAGTTTTTTGTGTTCAGTGAGAGGTTATATAGGAGTCATGGGCAGGGAAATCATTTAAGTAGAGTGAAAGTAGCTTAGAGGACAAGCACATTTATGTAATGACTACGTGACCCGGTGCACAGATTTGTGCACATTGAAAGGAAATTAATTAGAAAGTGGCCGGCAGGGCAGGACTGGGCGAGACGGGCCGGACATGCCCAGGAGCCAACCTCCCGCAGTCCCTCTCAGGCATCTGCAGAGTGAGCGGATTCCCTCTGGCAGGTGGGGTCCCTCAGCCTGGCCTGCGGGAATCGGGCTGAAACCGGCTCTCTGACATCCCCCGAGGGGTCCCAGAGTGCGAGAGGGCACTCTGCAAAGTTGCTGTTGTACAGGGTGTGGAATGCAAACGCAAGTGTGCAGTAAACCAGATTCGGGGCTGACAGTGCCCCAGCAACAACATAACTCATGGCCGAAGGTGGAATCGCTCGGCCCCACGAGGAATCAGGCTCCCTCCTCTCTGGTTTCGGGGTGCATCACCTGAGAACCACCACTGCCAAGTCACTGCAGCTCAGCGGCTCCTGCATTGACTGCCCCCTGGTGGTCAGTGTGCATCATAGCGACCAGTCAGATGGTTGGACACTTAACATACTTACTGTTTATATATATAGATAAGTTTAGAAGAGCCCCGGAAGATTGGGCAAGTAGCTGAGAACTGAACCATGAAGGCAAGTCTCCTCCTTTCAGATAAGTTGAGACACAGAGCATTATGGCCTAGCCAGTTTGGCTCAGTGGATAGGGCATAGTCCCGAGGACAAGGGTCCCTGGTTTGATTCTGGTCAAGGGCACATACCTTGGTTGAGGCTCAATCCCGGGCCTGGTCGAGGCACGTGTGGGAGGCAACCAATCGATGTGTCTCTCTCACATTGATGTTTCTCCTCCTCCCTCTACTCTCTCTAAAAATCAATGGAAAAATATACTCTAAAAATCAATGGAAAAATATTGTTGTATGGATTAACAATAAAACAAAACAAAAAATAAAGAGCATTATGTAAAGGACAAATTGTCCATCATAAAATTTCTTGTGAATAATTATGACCTCCTAATTTCAGAGTTGATTTACTCAGGTTTGCTGTCTTTGTATGCATTTGTTACAGACATATTTCATCATTGGGAAAAATAAGACTATTCAGATAATTTAAAAGAAAGTCACTCCACATTTCCACTGCCAGGGGACAACTATTCTAAACGTTTTCCTTCCATCCCAACTTTTAACCAGGCATACCTATGCATTTGTATGAAATTTTTTTTTTTTACAAAAATAACCATGTGACGTTACAGATCTACAGCACTATTCAGTTTCATAATAGTCCATCTAAAGATAAGTCATGGGATTTGAACTCCTATCTTTGGCTTTTAGAAGGGTTTACAGTTTTCTTGTGACTACGAACAGTGCTCTAAAGCAGCAGTCGCCAACCTGTGGTCTGCGGACCACTGGTGGTCCGTGAGGTCCGAAAGGTTGGCGACCACTGCTCTAAAGAACAGCTCTTAAATACAGCTGTTGCACTGTTTTAATTTGTTTTTCTTTTATTATTTGTGAAGGGGAAGTTTTTGGCATTTGCGTTTCCTCTGGTAATTCTCCTTTGATACCATATTACTTGCCTTTCCTATGGAGGGGGGGGCTCATCTTTTTTTTTATTTTTTATTAAGGATAGTAACTCTTCCAAATAGACTTTTCCCAGTTTCCCTTGTGTTTTTTTTTTTGACAGAATTGCTGAAATTCTACCCAGTCATATAATTTCTTTCTTCCTGGTTTCTGCCCTTGGTATTAAATTTAGAACAGCCTTCCTTACTCCAAGGTTATATACTTTCTCACCTGATTTTCTTTTATCTTTTATGTGATTTTGCCCTCTTGCATTTAAATCTCTTAACCCACTGTTTGGCTGAAGGCTGGAAATTGGGTTGCGACTAAATTGTTAAGCAGCTGTCCCAAGTAATTTGATTGATTCCCTACTGATTTGCAATGCCACTTTATCGATATGCTCAATTTTTATATGCATATACTCACTCACCCTTCATCCTGGTTCCAAGCTTTTTATTGGTTCCATTGACTTGTCTTTCTCTTCTTAGTTACTTACCATCCATAATACATTTTCTGTCTGCATCTTTACAGTAATATACCACAATACTTAAATAGGTTTGTTTTGTCTTTATTATATCTACATTTCATCACTATATTTTACTGCTATGAGAATTATATTTCAAAATTTTACTCTTTAAAAGTTTGACATTATTTATTCCTTAGCATATTGAACAAATAGGCTAATATGCTAAGTGTCCGACCATCCGAACCTTTTGCTTTGGAACTCCATAATAAATTCTTGGAAAATTTTTTGGATTGTCCTCATGTTGTCAGAAGAAATAATATGCTCTGCAATTATTTATTCAGCAAATATTTATAGAACCTGTGTTATATGTAACTAGAGGCCTGGTGCACGAAATTCCTGCATGGGTAGGGTCCCTAAGCCTGGTTGACGGACAGGGCTGATCAGGGTCTTCTGGCTGCCAGCCAGAGCCTTCCTTCATTTCACGCTGCCCCCTGGTGGTCAGTGCACTTCATAGCGAGTGATCAAACTCCCAGTCTTCCAGTCGAACTCCTGAGGGGACACTTTGCATATTAGGCTTTTATATATATAGATCATTTATCCAAAAAGGCAGTGGATTCCTTAAAAAGGTATTTGAGCATTTTTTCTTTACTGGAACTGTTTACTTTTTGTGTCTCCGAAAGAATTTCTGTAGAAAGTTTCAGGCAAAAACTTAGGTAATACTTCTGTTTCCCATGAGTTCTTCCTTGTAGCCTATAATGATTATTATGTCCCTACCTATAGAAATACCAGAAGATAAGTAGTCCAGAGATGGAACTGGGGAGGTTATGCATCAGCCATGAGATATAAAGACTGACTACTTTTGTTTCTCTCCCACACAGCTTTCTACAAGTTCTTATTCAAGTCAGAAATAGACACAATGATGTGGTTCCTACAATGGCACAAGGAGTGATTGAATACAAGGAGAAGTTTGGGTTTGATCCGTTCATTAGCAGTAACATCCAGTATTTTCTGGATCGCTTCTATACCAACCGCATCTCCTTCCGCATGCTTATTAACCAGCACAGTAAGTCGGGCTTTTGGTCCAGATTTGAAATGGTAATCAGAGTGATTTCTTCCATATGTTTCTCTGTTACAGATCTGCATTTATGTCTGTAGAAATTTCATTCCTAGTTAAGTTTTTTTTCTAAGTAAATCCTATCTAGTAAAAAGCTATTCATTAGTATTCTTTGTTCAAATAAATCATTGAAAGGCTTTTGATGCTAAGCCTTTGCTGTCCCATTCTTGATGGGGGCGAAGGTCCAGCTTTAATGGCGCCGTATTAATCTCCAAACACTTTTATGTGTCTCAGAGAATGTTCTAGTATTTTTTCCAGGTTATTGGATGGTTTCCTTTTTTATTTTAAAAACATTGTTTCTGGGAATATTGAATTGGCATGTTGACAATATGAGCAATTGGTCTTTTATGTCATAATGATCAGTGAAAACAGATTAAGCAAGTTATCAAACCATAATCCTGAGAGATTTAGTCCACTCTCCAGGCTGATAAGCAGATAAGAAAAAAAAAAGCAACTAAAATTTTCTCCACAAAAAAAGTTGGGGCTTATTTTTAGCATTGTCTCTTTGCCTGATTTCATAATTCCTTTGAAAAAATACATCTTTATTGATTTCAGAGAGGAAGGGAGAGGGAGAGAGGGATAGAAACATCAATGATGAGAGAGAATCATTGATTGGCTGCTCTCTGCATGCCCCACACTGGGGATTGAGCCCACAACCTGGGCATGTGCTCTGACTGGGAATCAACCATAATCTCCTGGTTCATAGGTCAATGCTCAACCATTAAGCCAAGCGGCCGGGCTGATTTCATAATTCTTATGAAAAAGCATCCACACATCTAGAGTCTAAATCATCCTCTTTACTGAGTCATAAAATGGATAATGTATCTTTATTTTACTAATTTTATTTATTTGGATAAATGAATGTTATTGAGCTATTACATGAAGGTTGGACCCTCTGGCAATGGGCAAGGAGACACCAGATTGGTGGTGTCGCTCTTATATCCATCAGGGCAAAGCAGGCACACAGTCCTTAGTTCATTCTAGCTGATGCCTGTGTTGTTGGCCAGCTGATTCATGCCTGAGCACATAAAAAAATAAATGTGGTTGGTTCTAAATGTATAGCTTTTAAAAATAGAAATGTATGCTGTGTACCAAAACCAATATAATATTGAATGTCAACTGTAATTGAAAAAAAATCATATTAGTTACAAGTAAAATATATAACTCTTCACAACAATAATCAAAGCATATCACTCTGATGATATGATAAAGGTAATTTATTATTTTTTAAAAAGTATGACAATTTATAGGAGATTTGAAGGAAAAAAAGAACCTATATACTATTTAACTAAACTACTTAGATAACTATTATGTCTTACCTAAATCTGTGTCTGTGTATATATGTATATGTTTTATTTATTTATTTATTTATTTAATTTTTTAAAATATATTTTATTGATTTTTTAACAGAGAGGAAGGGAGAGAGATAGAGAGTTAGAAACATCGATGAGAGAGAAACATCGATCAGCTGCCTCCTGCACATCTCCTACTGGGGATGTGCCCGCAACCCAAGTACATGCCCTTGACCGGAATCGAACCTGGGACCTTTCAGTCCGCAGGCCGATGCTCTATCCACCGAGCCAAACCGGTTTCGGCTTATTTATTTTTTAATATATGTTTTTATTCATTTCAGAGAGGAAGGGAGAGGGCGGGAGAGAGAGAGAAACATCAGTGATGAGAGAGAATCATTGATCAGCTGCCTCCTGCACACACCACACTGGGGATCGAACCGTGACGTCCTGGTTCATAGGTTGACACTCAACTACTGAGCCACACTGGCCGGGCTATATGTACATGTTTTTAGATCATGGACTAAGCTTGTCACTTCTGATTTTCTTTCACTCAATCAGTTGGAACTTTATGTATTGGCCTAGTGCCCATATTCAGCATTTTTATAATTTAAAATCTCCCCTATATTATTGAAGCATTCTCCTTTTGTGAAATCTAAGTTGTTCCCAATTTTTGTTTGATTTAAAAGCAACTATACCAAAAATAAATAAATGTTATATACATATACCTATAAACACTGAAGTTAGATTACTTTTTCCTTTGGGGCTCCTTTTGGCTTTTGTTCAGAAGTCAAATTTGCCAATCTTGTGTATTTTGAAAGCATTTATACTTTTAAAAATACTTGAATGTTCCTGGCCAGGTGGCTCAGTTGGTTGGAGTGTCGTCCTATACACCAAAAGGTTGCGGGTTCGATTGCCAGTCAGGGCACATATCTAGGTTGCAGGTTTGATCCCCTTGTCGGGGTGCGTACGGAAGGCAACAGGCAACTGATCAATGTTTCTCTCTCTGCCTCCCTCTCTCTCTCAAATCAATAAACATATCCTTGGGTGAGGATAAAAAAATTTAAAACTTTGGGGTTAAAAAAATACTGGAACAAATATCATTTGTGTATACAACATTGAAAAATAATCTCCATGATGGAGGCATTTGAAATGTTCACAGTGAAGACATCTCACAAGCCTGGCCTAATGTGCAGGCTGTGTTTTCTAACTACTGAGTGAATGTTGGATTAAATGTCCGCAGTAGTATTGAGAAGGTGGGTCAAATTGAAAGCAAGTTTTTTCATCCAAGTTACATTGGGTCAGGAAGAAAGGATTGGACACCTGGCATGTGTCACTGCTTTAGGACCTGCTGAGCGCTACTGACAACATGAGGACAATCCTTCCTTCTTCGTTGTCCCCTCATCATATATTCAGGGTAGGGCAAAAGTAGGTTTACAGTTGTTGATAATGGAAAAGGATACAACAATAAATAATAATACAAAAATGAACTCTGTGTTTCACATACAACTGTAAACCCACTTTTGCCCCACTCCGTATTCTGTTACTTTAAGTCACTGTGGATGCTAAAATGATTCTTACAAACACGAGAATCCTCCATTTTTCTCTGCTTGACCATCCCAGCCTGCTTTGTTTATAATCTCTCCCTACCCTTCTGTGTTTGTTTAGCGCTTTTGTTTGGCGGTGACACAAATCCTGCTCATCCTAAACACATTGGAAGTATCGATCCCACCTGCAACGTGGCTGATGTCGTGAAAGGTAAGGAGACCACTGTAATGTTAGCGATTGTACTTCAAATAGGATTGTGATGCTATCGAGGCAGCTTGGCGATAGGGTTATGTTGCTCAGTTGTTTGCCGAGTCCTCAGGCCACTCTGGGCCCAAGCTACTTCATCCAAATATGAAATGTTCTTTTTAGGCAGTTCAGGAAAAGATGCATAATTCACGCTGCTCAAAATGGGAGTTTCTACTTCATTGACTAGGGCAGGGGTGGGCAAACTTTTTGACTCGAGGGCCACAATGGGTTCTTAAACTGGACCGGAGGGCCGGAACAAAAGCATGGATGGAGTGTTTGTGTGAACTAATATAAATTCAAAGTAAACATCATTACATAAAAGGGTACGGTCTTTTTTTTTTTTTAGTTTTATTCATTTCAAACGGGCCAGATCCGGCCCGCGGGCTGTAGTTTGCCCACGGCTGGACTAGGGTTTTACTTCTAGTTCTATCTTAAACCATGAACATTTGTCAGCCTAAGTAGGATTCTAAGTTTTGATCGCCACCAGTATCTGAAAATCTCAGAGAATGCAAACCCTTGTTATAAAATTTGGCTGAATTCACGTGTTTGTAAAATGGAAGCATCTTTTTGACCTGCACCCAGGCTTCAGAATCTACATGGCATGTGGGCTTTGTGGGGTCACTAGACATTGAGCTGGACTCTGTCCCAGTAGCCTTGGTGTAAAACAGAGCCCTAAAACCATAAGTCCCTAGTCCCCAGGCGCTTTGAATCTGAGCTGCAGTTTCCTCGTTATTCATTTAAGATAGATGCCAGCTCCAGAAAACCTTCCTGGTTGCAAGTGATCCGACAGGTTTCTAGACCTCTTTTTTAGTTGTTTTCAGGAGTACAGATACTCTGTGCAGCCTCACATTCCCAAATTGTCCCTTCCCAAGATGATACCTCCTATTGTGACTGTCCTCTCCCTCCTCTAAACACACACAAGTGTTCGTGGCCACCACTCTCCTGGTCTTCACCAAGGATCTTGGTTGCTCTTCCATTTTCTGGACTGTGTAGCTAAGTCAGTAGGAGGTAGAAGAGGGCCTTGTCTGCTTGGTAAAGCTCTCAAGCCTACCTCAAGCAGAGTGACCTTTGCTGCTGGAGTTAGAGCCAAGGGAGGTGGCCCAGTGTGTGCAGCCTCCACACTGGAGGAACATCACATTATCAGCAGCCAGTGCTGCTTGTGTACCTTGCGCATTTTTATTATAAATACTACAGGCCCGGTGCATGAATTCATGCACGGGTGGGGTCCCTTGACCTGGCCACCGATAGGGGCCATCTGGCCCAGTCCTGATCGGGGCCGATCGGGGCTGGCCGGCCAGCCAGGGGGAGGGACCACAGGAGGTTGGCCGGCTGTGGGAGGTTGGCCGGCTGTGGGAGGTTGGCCGTGGGAGCGCACTGACCACCAGGGGGCAGCTCCTGCATTGAGCATCTGACCCCTGGTGGTCAGTGCATGTCATAGCGACCAATTGTTTGGTCGCTTAGGCTTTTATATATATAGATAGATATTTTTATTGATTTCAGAGAGGAAGGGAGTGGCAGAGAGAGAGAGAAACATCAATGATGAGAAAGAATCATTGATTGGCTGCCTCCTGCATGTTCCACACTGGAGTTTGAGCCTGAAACCCAGGCATGTGCCCTGACTGGGAATTGAATTGTGACCTCCTGGTTCATAGGTCAATGCTCAACCACTGAGCAACACTGGCTGGGCTACTCTGGGCATTCTTTTTAAAAAAAATACTAGTATATATACTTACCTGGCAGGGGAGATACCATGATCACGAAGGTGGTTTCCCCAGGGCGAGGCTTACCCATTGCACTCTGGGTATGCTGACCCCTGCGATTTCCCCAAATGTGGGAAACTCGACTGCATAATTTGTGGTAGTGGTGGACTGCGTTCGCGCTCTCCCCTAAAAAAAAATTAGTTTATTTTATTGATTTCAGAGAGGAAGGGAGAGGGAGAGAGAGATAGAAACATTAATGATGAAAGAGAATCATTGATTGGCTGCCTCCTGCACGCCCCACACCAGGGATCGAGCCCACAACCCAGGCTTGTGCCCTGACCAGGATTCAAACTGTCACCTCCTGGTTTACAGGTCGATGCTCAACCACTGAGCCATGCTGACTGGGCTACCCTGAGCATTCTTAAATCCAGGGAAGAGGACCCAGGCCTAGGGGCCTTTGCCCAGCCTAGAATTGCCAAGCTGTTCTGGCCTCTGTTTAATTAGGAAACATTCACCCAAATTAATTCCATTATAAGATGAATAGTTCCAGCCTCAGCTCCCTAAGAATCCTACAGGTAACTCTCTCACAAGAGAAGCCTGTGGTTAATCATGACTTCTGCAGGCCTCTGCGGGGCGGGGTGGGCAGGGGGCAGAATTGGTCTTGGCATAGTTGTATGTTCATTAGACCGTAGCACAATGTCTTTTATGAATCAGAAAGCCAGGTTCGGATAGTTGACTGCCCTTATGAAAAAAAAAGGTGTGCATTCATAATGCAAAAGTGCATTATTATACGCTGCGTGTGTGCCTTTTCTCTTGAACTGCAAACAGTTTGAGGTCAGGGTGTGTGTCTTAAACTTGTTTTGTAACTTACATGGAACTTAGTATATGCCTGTTAGATGGTCAATAAGTATTTCTTGGTTTGATAAATTTGAAACTCTTTGATGATTCTTTAAAAACAGCTTTATTGAGATATAATTCATATACATACTATATAATTCACCCACTTAAAGTGTACAATTCAGTGTTGTTTTTTTTTAGGATATTCACATAGTTGTACAGCCAGTGCCACAGTTCAATTTTAGAACATTTTCATCACTCCCGAAAGAAACCCCATACCCTTAGCAGTCAATCCCCACTACCCCTCTTCCCAGGACTAGGCAACCACTCATCTACTTTCTGCTTATTCGGGACATTGCATGTGAATGGAATCATACAACATGTGGTCTTTTGTGTCTGGCTTCTTTCAC